GCTGTTTTAGTGTGTAAAGCTTTGTTTTCGAGTTTATTGTCGTTGTCTATAGGAGCTGCGCTTTATACTAAAATTAATCTAACTGTCATTTATGCTTGTTTAAGAAGCCATAATTCTTCTTTTACATTCATTTTTTTCTTTTTTACATGGTCTGCTGAGATTTCTAAAATTTTATGTTATTATTGTGGACATCAAATTAATTTTTTTTTCTTAATTAACTTTACAAATTTTCTTAAATAGCTAAAAAGTATTTAAGTTTTGAGGTAAACTTTTATTCAGCTTAACGTAAAACTTACATGCTGCAAAACAGAACATATAAAAAGATCAAGAATATTAAAAAAGTTAGTTATATTTACCAATATGTATGTATGTATGTATGTATGTATGTATGTATGTATGTATGTATGTATGTATGTATGTATGTATGTATGTATGTATGTATGTATGTATGTATGTATGTATGTATGTATGTATGTATGTATGTATGTATGTATGTGTATGTATGTATGTATGTATGTATGTATTTATCAGTTTTGTTTTATTATTAATGATATAAAATATTTTTTTAAATAATATTTGATTAAAGATTTTATATTGTTATTTTTAAAAAAAAATACAACACAATTCAATTTCTGGAAGTTATTCTACTGATTGTTCGTATCAACCAATCAACTTCTGGAAGTTAGTCTACTGTTTGTCCATATCAACCATTCAACTTTTGAAAGCTAGTCTACTGTTTGTTCTATCAACCATTCAAAATATATAATTCAAAATAAAAAGAATCTATGACGACTAATATAATGACTAAATTTTTGAAATAGAAAGAATGGCATGGTAAACTGATTTGGTGCTCAACCTCTAGAGCAGATGAAAGGAAATCATCTTGGTTGTCTTCTATATTTTATAAGTTTTTTTTGTAAACCTTATGAAAACTCAGCGGAAATATGGTTGTGATTTAATGTTATGCTTTTGTTTTTATCATCTTTTTGCAGGATTTTTTTCTAATTCTGATGAGCAATATTTACGCTTATGCCACCACAAGGGTTATATTCATCATGGACCTTATATTGACTTGAAGTAAACAGCTTGGACTGCAACCTGATACAAAACGTTTTAAATACAAGTTATCGTGTCTTTTATGTTTACAAATTTTATTTTTAAAAATTCGTAAAATAATTGGTCTTGTAGGTTTGCATAAAAAAAAATTTGAGATATTTAAAACCTTTAACCATATTGGAAAATAGAGAATCAGTATATTAGGCTTTTTAAGATAAATTAAATCTTTATTTTGAGTTTTTTGTTTTATGGAATGAATGTTTCATATTTAAACAAATAACATGTTACATTACAATAAATTAGAGATAGCGGTCATGTGTTTTCTTAAAAAAAACCAAGTGTCAGGTAATATGTGTATGACTTTACTTTTACATTGTTTTTTGAAAGGCGTTTTCAATAGCTTTTTAGTTTGAGCTTTTTTAATTTTTGCTTTTAATGTTTTAAAATTATGTGTTAACATTAAAGTTATATTTATTTTATTAACATTAAAGTTATATTTATTTTGTTAACATTTTGTTCAATGTAGATACACCAACTTTGTGGAGTTACTTGCTTATAACTCGCAATGAGACAACCCCTTCAAAAGACGCCCTTAAAGGCCATAAAGGTTAGTTTATTGTGCTCATTCTAGTATCTCTTAACTGATTGATTTCTATATTACGGTTAATATACTAGTATCAGGTTTATTTTAGGAGTCTACAGACCGCTACGTGAAACGATTTTATTTTATCGTTATGTTTTTTTTATCAGTATGTTGTATCCGAATGAATGGTCAAGTATGGATAAACTTGATATAAGCTAAAGCTTTGATCAAGTTTAACCACACTTGACAGAAAGTTCAAAATTATTTTCTAATATTAAAAAAATTTTATAACCGCCAACATTAATTTATTGAAATTTTTCCATGTATTTTAGATAATCATTTTATTATGATTGTAAGATTTAAATTTTACTTGTAAATCTCAATTTTAAAATGAATTTTATAATTTTTAAAATTTTTTTATTTATATTTGTTAATCAGGTTTATGATTAAAACGCCAACAGGTTGATCTATTGATTTACCAATAGTGTTTCTTCGAGCTAATAATGTTATATGATAAATTTGAAAAAATATCAAATGTTTTCTTATTCAAAAAAAATGCATTTTTTTAAATAAGATTATGTAGTAATAATAATAAAAAGTTTTGCTATGGATAAGTATATAAATAGGATATAAATGTATATAAATGGTATAATGAATTGAATAAAAAATATTAAACTTTCCTACGATGAAGTTACAATTTAACATCAAAATCGCTTGCAGGTACAGTGTAATATAGTTTTTGGTTTATTGAAATATATTGGAATATTGGCGCAATTTGACACAAAATTTCATCTTCCTTGTATTTAAGGATTTTCTCTGTAGCTGGCCATTCGAAACACTTTCTGTCATTTTTTTTTATCATTTTTACGCACGCTATTCTCATCATAATTTTTTTAATTTATTTTACTTTAATTTTTAGGTTCCCCAAGAAGACCTAACGGTCTTGTCTCAGAGCACCACGGAAGAATATTTAACTAGCAATTTTATACCTCCTTCCTAACCGATAGTGCAAAATATTCTCAGAGCTCGCTTTGAACCCTGGATCTTTTGCTTCCAACGTAAGCGCTCTAACTAATACGCCACGGCCGCTGAATTTCACATTCATCAGTTTAAACAGTAAAGCAAACTATTAAACTTGATATCTTCATTTGAATAAAACAATGTTTAAACTCGGTATTCTAAAATACTCCAAATTAAAAAAAAATTATGTTTCTGACTATATTAGGGTATAATATGCTATTATGCTTAATAGCAAACCCTACTGTCTCTTTTATACGCAGCTAGCTTCTCTTCTATCTAAATAGATAAATGCCTGCAAACAATTTACTAATACTTAAAAAAATAAACATATATTTAAATCAGAGAGTTTTATGTTAACTATCTATGTCAGTATTATATTTTAAAAACTGTTATAATAAATTATATTACAATATTCTCCAGTTTTTGTATTGCTATTCCAATTTTATTTTCATTGTTATTTTCAACATTATTACCATCATAACTATGTCTGTTATTCAATTCTTCTACGTCAATTGACTGATTGCTGTTTCTACCAGTTCTTTTAATGATACTTCTTTATACTTTTTGGTTCATTTTGAAAACAAAGATTTAATTTGATGCAACATCTTGGCTGGGTATCAAAATTTTTGCGAAGTAATTTCTTCACCTGGTCTGAAGTCATTTTCTTACCTGTCTGTTTTCCTTTCATGAAGTATTTATACAGCAAGAAATTTGAGTATAAAAAAATATAAAAGAGCTACTTTACTGATAGACTCTTTACTAGCACAGCGCACCCAACCCATTGAAATGAAGATGTGATAGGAAACTGTTTACATGCAGCTTTGAGAGTCACATCAAATATAATATGTATATTTCTTGGTATCGACAAATGCAATTGCAAAGGTGATTTCATTTAAAAAAAAAATAATTTTTAACTTTATTCACTGCCGATGTTATCAGCGAAGAGTGGTGAATACCAGCTATCGTTTGTATTTATTCACTGCCGATGTTATCAGCAAAGAGTGGTGAATACCAGCTATCATTTGTATTTATTCACTGCCGATGTTATCAGCGAAGAGTGGTGGATACCAGCTATCATTTGTATTTATTCACTGCCGATGTTATCAGCGAAAAGTGGTGGATACCAACTGTCATTTGTATTAAAATGCTAGTTAAACTTGATCCTGTCAATAAATGATGTACTACAACCACTCTCTTGACAGAAAATTAGATTGCATAGTTGTATGTCTCCTTTTGCTTTTGGATTTTCTATATTTTTTTGTTTATCAGAAGTTTATCTGTGGGACTATATGAAAGAATGATTTGAAAGTCAGATACAAGTGTAATGCCAATGTATAATTTGATCGATATCATTTATATACCATTATTAAAGTCTCCACAATTTCATGTTCTGCAAAATACTGTATTGAATGATATGAACGAACATTCTTGATAAAGATTCACCTAGTAACAATTTTTTATTACCATAAATTTTTAATACTGACACTTTTGCGTTACTTATACCATTTCCATAGTGTAATGCTGTATAAGGGCAATTCCAACGTTACTTACGGGACATTTTGATATTTGTAATGTCACATTTTGAAAAAAAAAAATAAATTATTTTTACAGATTATATTTTTATATGTTTATGAACCATCCCAAAAACATTTATTTGTTTTCCTGTATATTGGAACTTCGTTCAATTGTCATAAGTTTAGCAATTATAGTTGTTTATATGCTGTGTTACTTACGGACACAAAAAAACATAGCATTTAACCTGTTGTTTTCAGTTGAATATTTCAAGTCAAATATTTAAGCTACATAAATTAAGTAGTTATTATTCTGCATAAAATTATTCAAAAGATTGTTTTAGCTATTTATTTATATATCTTAAATCAAATTAATTATCGTGACTTACAATTCCACGCTTTTATCAAATTGTAGTTTAGCTGCTATTTATATATAAAGTATGGCGCAAGACTTTAATTTGAAATTTAAAACAAAAAAATAACACAAATAACATTTTTATTCAAATTTAAAATTTTTTAACAAATGGCAACCCAATAATTACTTGGTTTTTGTTTGAATGTATTTATTCATTTTATGGTAATAACTTACTTGAGCATGGAATTGCCCATAAACGTTTTCTAATGTAATCAAGTCGTTGTCTGCATCAATAAAACTGTTTATAATGTTTTTTTTCTGTCACACTCTCATAAATCTCATTGATCCTTATCTTTTGATGGTTCTTTGTAACCTGTTCTTAGCAAAAGAGACTCATCTTTTCAGAATTCATTAAGTGCCTCAAATATATTACTTCCATGATACGAACTAACATTAATAGACTTTGTAAAAAAAAAAAAATCATTACGGGGTTACTTTATTGAATTCCTTTAGAACGTGTTCAGATATACTCAGAAAACTTACCATTCCTTGATCACATCAATAAATTACTGAAAGAAAAACTTGTTTGGTAATATCATTCTCTCTTTTTACAAAGAACACATCAAAGTACATACTCTTCTCCTTCTTTTCAAAGTAGTTTTTTTACCTCCTCTAAATGTAACCGAGATTATCTTTTGGCTAAAGTAGTTTTTTTACCTCCTCTAAATGTAACCGAGATTGATTGTCTTTTGGTCTTTTAATCAAAAACAAGTTTTTTCATCGAGACAAAACACTGACTTTTAGCTTTTTTTTTCTGTGCATCTTGAATAAGGTGTTTGATGTAATTGAAAATACTATTTACTACAATAGATGTTTCATGCAACATATCTTCATTATCTCCGGCTTTTACTGATTAAGAACTGTTTAGATAAATTTAAATAGATCTAAACAATCAGCACATACTTTGTCACCTATATAAGAAAGATTACTATATAATTGGGGCTCAACGTGTTCAATAATGCGAAGGATATTGAATGTAAAACAATTGTTTCGGAATAATGATCACCACAACGAACAGAATAGAGTATTTTCAAGTTACATTTTCCCCGTTCGCGAAAATCAGATACACCTTTGTCATATAACCTGCGCTCTGTCATATCCAACAGTTTATCGAAATCATTCATTTTGGATGCAGTGATATCGTCTAGCCCTACTTTTTATATTAGAAATAGTTTATCACTAAATGTTTCCTATTTTCCGACTTGACTGGCAACCAAAAGCATGAATAGTAGTTTTTTTTTAATATGATGGTCACTAAGTGATAAAGTTACAGTTTGGCCTAAAGAATCACTTCCTTTGTATAAATTGATATATCAAACTAATTCAGTCGAAACTATTTTTTTTTCCGTCAACAACATCATGCAATATGGGTGTAAAGTCTGACAGTTAGGGAGCTAATGTTCTGCAAATCTTTTTGACATCGTTTAAATATTGTTAATGTTTTTACTTCAGATATATCTTAGTATCTTCTAGTTACTAAGAAATTATTCTATTTAATTATTATTTACTAAATATTCTTCTAATTTATTCGTTGTACTTTGATGTACATGAGGAAGTGTATTATTTTGAAGGAAATTAAAATAAAGTAACAAGAACATTATGTCAACTTTTTTTCTAGAGAGTAAGACCTACTTTATTATTTATTTATTTTTTTTTGTATATGACAGGCTACACTTTTATGAACATATTAAATCGAGTTTTTTTTAACATATTGACTTGAGTTTTTAGAGCAGTCTAAAGTTGGAACAGTTTTTCACGGCTAATTTTTTGAGATGCTAATGCAACCACGCGCAATTTCATTTTTTAAATTGAAGCATCAGGTGTAAAAAATTGAAACATCTGGTGTATAAAATTTAATGGAAACATCTGGTGTAAAAAAATTCATGTTGCTAAGTCGTCTTCAACAACTTGTAAAATTGGCTTCAATAACTTTTTAAAGTCCGTATTTTTTTATTACATTTAGGCTGTGATTTCTAGACAACTAATAATTTTTTTTATTACTTATTTTTTAATTTTTATAATATATATATATATATATATATATATATATATATATATATATATATATATATATATATATATATATATATATATATATATATATATATATATATATATATATATATATAAACATATTTTGAACATTGCATTAGCAATAAATGTAAATATTTTTAAGAAAAATATTTTTTCGAGGGTTCGGAAAAATTTGTATGCGCAGATATTGTGCGCATATATTAGTATAATTATACGCATACTTTTGCGCATAACTCTTTTTGCAATTTTAAATCATTAAAAACCGTTAAATTGTTTTGACTAGACACAAAAAAAAAAAGAATTTTAATTCTAGTTTTCACTGAATGAAATTTTTAATCAATGTGCTTTTGGAACAAAAAAAATCATCAGTTTTAATAGGGAAATTAAAATTTGATAACTTTTAATTCCACTATTAAAGAACTTTTATAATTAATAACTTTAACTTATAAAAGTGCTTTAATTAGAGATAAGTAAGTAAAATAATGAAATTGAAAGATTTAAGAAACTCGTAAAAGATATCGAATATCCTTCTAACACATGAAAATGATGATGTTTTATTATCTTTGGTGTACTACTTTTTTGTGAAATGAACTTTAGATTTAAATTCCTTATCATCTCAAATATAGGAATTGCCTATATGTTGACACCGATGTATGCTGCAGAAGGATTCTATTTTGGTGAAGATAAGACTGATATAATCAATTCAATTTCAAAACAAGCCTCAAAAACAAATCCAACAATGGCTGAGACAGTTGAAAATAAAATAATTTAATTTGTTCGAGAAATGATAACAATGACAAAAAACAGAAAAGAGACAATTTTTAAAGAATTTTTGGAAAATTGTTGGTCGTCAAAAATATCCAGCAGTCTTTGAAGTTGGAAAAATTTATTTTTGAAATGATTTGTTCGTCAGCAACAGAGGAGAGAACTTGGTCGATTTTCTATTTATTCATTCACGATTGAGAAATCGCTTGACAACGAACGTGTAAAAAAATTTGTTTTTATATATACTAAAAGTGGTTTCATAGATACAAACAACAAAAATTACTAAATTTTAGAGATAAGAGCGGTTCTCAGCGGGTTTGAGTGTGAAGAAGTTATAAATGAGCAAATGTAATACAAAAATAAATTAAATTGTTAAGTTTTGTGATATAGAAATTTGTTAAAAAATCATGAAAATAATTTAAAATATTTACTAAAAAAATTACTTACAGAAAATCAAACGGAAAATTATTTCTTTTAATTTAAAGTCACCGGCGTTTTACTTAAAAAATATTTTGTTTTATATTTGACAATATTTTATTTAACTTTATTTTAATTAACTTCACGTACCATTCATCAGTTATATTTGCACGCGCATCGTATGCATATTTAATTATATATCGTATATATATTTAATTATGCGCATAACTTTCGAATGGCATGCGCATATATTCGCCGATATGCGCATAAGTTCTGAAATCCAATTTTTATACTTATTATCCTACATTTTAATATGTAAAATTTTCGTGAACATGTTTTTATTTATTTGACAATATAAAGCGGTCCTCGATAATAAGACCGTTTGATCTTCTGCAAGTTTTCCACTTTCTTTTTACAGTATGAAGTGTGAAAAAGTTATAAATGAGCACATGTAAAAAAAAAAAAATTAAATTGAAGTGTGAAGCCGTGAGCAGCTGTTGTAGCGCGCTTGCCTTAGAAACAAAGGATCCGTGGTTCAAACCCCACCTCTGGGCAAGTTTTGCGGCATCAGTTATGAAGGAGGCGTGACCTTCCTATTAAATGCTCATCTGGGTTGCTCTGTGATAAGACCGTAAGGACTTCTTGGGGCACCTAAATAAAATTAAAAAAAAAAAAAAAAAAAAAAAAAGTATTAAAGAAGTTTATATATTTTGTATTATTATTATTTATTTTTTATTATTTATTTATTTTGCCGTTGATAAATATTACAAAAAAGAAATAACAATAAAAGAAAATCCTGGCCGGAGCAAGAAGAAGATAGGTTGTCTTATCACCGAGCCCCGTCACACAAAAATTTACATGCACAATAAATGATAAAAGATAAAAAAACAAAAACAAAAACAAATTAAAAACTTCAGCAATAAAATAATTTGTTGCTAACAATCTTCCAGCAGAATAATTTTAAAAATAAAAAAGTAAAAACGACAGAAAATCATGAAAGTTATAAAAGACACACAAAAAAAATGCGTTGTTTAATTAAAAAAAAAAAGCAATATATGTAAACATAAGTATTTGGGCTGATTATTTAATATCGTCAAAAGTATGAACGAAAAAGACAATTTTATTTTCGTTATCTTTTATACTAATGGTTTGAAACCATTTCAATAAAAGCTAAAGAAAGTGTTAAAGATTTAATTTATTTTAAGTGATTTAGTTTAAACCTTTAAACTGTTTTCAAAAAAGGTATTTGAAATCTAATATATCGAATTCCATGTTCAGTAAATGCCGTTTTGAATCATCCTTAAAACTTTGCAAAGTGCAGTTTAAAACGAAGTTTTGTTTTTACTAAAGATTGGAAGAAATTTTTTCCAAACTAAAGTTCCCCGATATTGAATTTGGTACGAACTTAATTTAAGAAGGTTTATGCGAACCACAAAGTTATTCACTGAAAATTTGGTTGAATATTTATGGGAGATTTCATTAAAGTAGGATTGAAATGTTACTGGAGAAAACCCAAGTTTTGCTTTAAACATAAATATCATTACTTGATGATATTAAAGCTCCAAGCTTTTTTAGTGCAGCAGATTAGCAAGTTGTGCAAAAGTGGATAAAAGCATGAAACTTTTTTTACACGTAGAATAAAACTATACAATGCATTTAATGGTTTTGATATGGTGGCACGTTGAGTTAGTTGGATCTCGCTTGTAAAAATCAAAATGGCATTTTGTGTTTATAACAAAACGCAGACCAGATTTATTTTATATATATATATATATATATATATATATATATATATATATATATATATATATATATATATATATATATATATATATATATATATATATATATATATATATGCACTGCAGCATCATGCGCAATTACAAATAAAAACCTTTATATTATTTTGGTATAATACCGAGGTTGAGTAAAAGCACTCACTCACTGACGTCTTGTATTATTCAAATGGCAGTCACTTACATTGTGATCTTTGCATCCATGCCGTTTACGGATTAATGAACAATCAGAGCCTTTTTATGTATACCATTTTTTTTCAAAAATGTAAGTATATACTAAAAAAAGTAGATATAAATATTTTAAATAGAACTTTTGAAAACATGTTATTCATAGTATGGGAGGGGGGGGAAGCCTTTTCGGGGGTAAGAGGGCCGTACTCTAACACTTCCCCTCCTCATAGGCGCATCTACGATCAATGTATACTTGCTATATTCTACCTATACTTACTATATTCTTCCCTAAGATTTTGCTAAAGATTGGTTAAACGGTTTAAAATTTACTAATGTTTTTATAAATCAAAGATGGCGGTCACTTCCATCTTGGATTTAACCCAGTTCCGGTCATGCTACACTTTGCCACTATATCTTAAAATGATAGGCATAATTTACTGAGATGTTCGTAAATATTTCATGATTTTATCCACTTGTGCACAATTCTAGTTATTTTTAATGCTAATCTGCTCCACTATATGTAAAATCATTTTTGTGATTTTTTGTTATTTTATGTATACTCACAAAACTTTATATACGAAGCTGTAATATTAAGGAAAAAATGTATATATATATATATATGTATATATATATATATATATATATATATATATATATATATATATTTATATATATGTATATATATTTATACATATATATATATATATATATATATATATATATATATATATATATATATATATATATATATATATATATATATATATATATATATATATATATATATATATATATATATATATATATATATATATATATATATATATATATATATATATATATATATATATATATATATAGGGCTGCCTCGAGAAAACCAACAAGGTGGGCGACTTTTAAAGAAACAGTTTTATAAAACTAAAGTTATGCTAAGTATAAACACGTAACTGTTGTGTACAATAAGTTTAAACATAAACTTTGAGTAACACTAACAACAATTTTTTTTTTTTTTGTTAATTATATTTATTAGATTATAGGACAAAAAATAATGAATATATTAATAATTATAAGAAAAAAAATAATAACTATAGTAATTAAGCTTATGAGTTCAGGTATTTTCATAGCCAATAATATAATTTATATTATATTAAATTGTAAAATCTGATTTATTACACAGGAACCACTAAAGCTATTTAATTGAGTAAACATTTCACAATAAAAATACAATAAAATTGATTACCACTTACAATAAAAATGATGCCAATATTAAAATTTAAATGTTTAAAATAGTTAGTGAATGTTTAAGTTACATTTAAAACACTAACTTTAAATTTACACTAAATTTGAATTATATTTAAAAAATAAAAAAAGAAGTTTACCTCCCCATTGTAAATTAAAATGCATATTTAATATTTCTTTTCAGCTAATTTATTTCTTTTCAGTTATTTTTTAGGAGCGAAGAAAAACCACACTGAACGTTATAACGACTTCATTTTAATCAAATCGACAACAAATTAGTTTTTATTTAACATCTTTAAAGTTTATTCCGTTTCTCAAATATATCGAATTAACAACTTAACAAAGTAAATAAGAAAAATGCAAAATAAAAAAAATTAATAAAGATTTATGTAGGCCCTAACTCCCTCCGCCAACACTATTTATGCTTATGTGTGGATATATCTATGTATGCATCTATGTGTGTGAGCTTATGTGTGTGTATATATATATATATATATATATATATATATATATATATATATATATATATATATATATATATATATATATATATATATATATATATATATATATATATATATATATATATATATATATATATATATATATATATATATATATATATATATATATGTTGCAATGACATCGCAAATGGTGGACGCTTTTTTCAAACCGTTGAAAATAATTTTTTAAAAGGAAAAAAGTAAAAAAGAAAAGAAAACATTTATAAATTAAACTAAAAATGAAATCAACAAAAAAGAAGAATAAATAAATCTTGTAAAAGAAGAAAAGAAAAAGAAACATCTGAAAGAAAATAAGTAAAAAACTTACGAAAATAGAAGTTAAAAAAAAACGTTAATGAATGAAATATAAAAACAATGCCAAAGAATGAAAAAAATAACAATTTACAGAGATGAACCTCGATCGGCAAATCTAGATTTTTATTTATTTTTCGTACATTTTTTTAGCTTTCTTTCATATATTTCTTAGGATTATTTATTTTATTATTTATTTATTTTTCTTCAATTTTTTAGCGTATATAGTTTTACTTGTTATTTTTTGTTAGTCATTTGTTTGTTTTTTAGTTATTATTTATTTTTAGTGGTATATAAATTTTTTATGCAGTTATATATTGTTTGTTTTTATTTTCATTTTTAGCCATTTATTATAATTCTACCGTTTATTGTTATTATCTTTTTTAATTTTAAGTTTTTTTGTTGTTGCTGTTTGTTTTGTTTATTTTGCATAGTTTTTTGTTTTGTTTCGTAATGATTGTTGTAACTTGTTTTGTTTTGATTTTCTCAGTGTTTTTCTGTTTATATTATATTTATTTATTTGGTCATAATATTTGCAATATATTTTGATTATTATATTTTTACAACTATGATTATATTAATATATTTACTAAATCTTTAAATTTTTTTTTAGTAGTAGTCGTTTTTTTGTCATCGTTAGTTGTTACGTTTTGTCAGTTTATTACTGTTTGTAACTGTAACTTTGCATGTAAAAATGATTGCTGTAGGGAAAATACCGATTATTTAAATTATTATAATTACTTTATTGCTATTGTTATTATTATTATTATTGCTATTATTATTATTATTAAGATTAATTGTATATATATAAATTATTTTTTTTAGGTATTAACTTGAGATTAGTATTTCAATACTATTTGTAAAAAGCCTTGAAAATTTATTTTCAGAATATATATGATTGATTGATTGATTGATTGAAAAAAATATATGGTCGGCGTGAGTAAGTGTCACGTGGGGGATGCCATTACATTTTTTGCTGATTAAAAATAAACTAGGTACTCTTTTTTTAAAATTCGCTGACTGCCTTATATATTGTATTATAT